GAATAAGTGTGTTATATGACACGAGCCTCCTTCTATGTATTCGCTTCTTTAGTCCATGCCTTAAGTTCACCGAATTCTTGGATGACAGCACGCCTGGTGACAGTGTGGGTCGGTCGACAGCGTTAGATGCTGGTCGCGCCATTATTGTTTACATCGGTGTCGGGGGGAGCAAGGCGGGTTTTGCAGGTCATTTCATTCAAAGTTCTCCTTGATCGTGAACCGTGTCCAGGACAGTTGACTCTATGAGTACTACATACCAGAGTTACTACCTTTTAAAGTAGATGCATACGTATTAAGCATACCTTCAACCCCATTTGCATGCATATTTGAAGGAACGCAGTCTGGATATAAGATGCAACGCCTGCGTCAAACATACATACCACCAAATCTTTGTAAACAGACTTGAAATGCTTCGCCAAGAGAAGATGTGGCAGCAAAACTGCCCGTGCATGCACGATCTTACTTATAACCAACAAAATGCAATCTTGATAACATATGCACCTTAACAAACCTTTTTTTAAATATGTGCAAGGCCTGTTTTGCTGAAGACTGCTCATAAGCGTTGTGATTAGAACATAGACGCTGAAAACATTTCTAAGAGATAAGCACCATGATTCTCCACAAAAACGGCTATCAGCTCCAGTTTACGAAGAAATAAAGGATTGCCGGGTTTCCGAGGTTTGGCAACATTTGATGACTTTTCATACAATGGTGAAATACCAGTGTCACCAAACTTCAACGCAGTTATGACGCAAAGAACCTTTTACGGCGGCTACGGTCATGATGCCTCTGGTCTCATATGGCGCAAATTGCACTGTAATGGTGTGCATGAATCATGTCATCGCTCGACCATGGCTCGGATGCCGACAGAAATATGGAAATGTCACATTGCATACTTCGCTAAGGTGGACATCATATTAAAGCAAGTACAGGTATGCCGCAAATTAAGAACCTTTGAGCTGTTTCCTGCTGGCAATAGAATGAAACTGCAATCAGTGTTTCAAACAAACAAGGCCAACACCAACTCGCTTGCATGGATGGGTCATTACAGCTACCAAGTTTCTAGTTACGTGACTTTGAGACAAGCCCGGCCTTTACCCTAGCTCTCAATAATCGGGTTTGTGAACAGCGCTGACGAAAAACATTTGGCGCCCATAAACCTGCATTTTATGACATGCTATCATGCATACGTACATCCATGTGGCCTGGATTGAGTCAATAGTTCGCTGTCAATGTCAATTTCCAGGAGGGACTCGTGAGAACTGATGCATTCAGGCAGCAGTAAGACGGCAGCAGTAAAGCATTCACAAATTAGATGCACATGAACACGGAAATAACGTTATTTGCCCTGGCTGGGCTGGCCTGCAGCCGGGAGCAGCGGTCGCTCGGAGTCAGGAGAGCTCAGAGTGTGGATCGGGCCGCGCCGAGCATTGGGAGACGTTCAGCTTTCGCCAAAAGTTCTGCCGTTGTCCCGGAATTTCACGATACGAGGCCGGGGTTCACACCTGGGCTCTGATTACCGGTATCCACCCAATTAAAAAGTTTGAACTATTAAGCAATGGCTCACAATGTCTGTTCCGATCGTCGATCTTCACGGGTTTTACATAGACATGCATTTTCCCTCATAAGCACAAAATTGAAACAAAAAGAGCCACCCCTTCCTCCCCCCCCCCCCACACCGCCTTAATCATCTGATTCTTTGCGCGGGAGGTGACTTCTTGGCTCACTGGACGTTGGTTGTGAAACACTGCTTCACACGGCTCAACAGGCCAATGGATTGATGTCTGGTGCCGCGCCAGCCGTACCTAAGCCCGGTCTGGTGCCGCGCCAGCCATACCTGAACCCAGTCTGGTGCCGCACCAGCCGTACATGAGCCCAGTCTGGCGCCGCACCAGCCGTACATGAGCCCAGTCTGGCGCCGCACCAACCGTACCTGAACCCAGTCTGGTGCCGCACCAACCGTACCTGAGCCCCGTCTAGTGCCACACCAAGCATACCTGAGCCCAGTCTAGTGCCGCACCAACCGTACCTGAACCCAGTCTGGTGCCGCACCAGCCATTTTTGAGCCTAGTCTAGTGCCGCGCCAGCCGTTCTTGAGCTCAGTCTGGTGCCACACCAGCCTTACCTGAGTGTGAGCCAGACTCGTGCAGGACGGCCACGCGGAGCGGCGGCCACCAGGTGTGGAACTCCTGCACCCACTGGTGAAGCACAGTCGCCGGCGCCATGATGAGCACGGCTCCCAGGCCGCGCTCGCCACCCCACCTGCCGGCAGGAATACAAAGCAATCAACCTACAGGATCCCTGACCCCAGAAAACACGGCCGAATTTCGACGCCAAAAATGTAAAACGGTGACAGGACAGCACACAGACGAAGCAATCAGCTGGCTAAAATAAAAGCTTAGAATAAAAAGGATGGAAATTAGTTAACTTCAGCTGCCTTTCCATGGCAGCAAGCTTAGTGAGCAGAAGGCCGATGAACGGGAAAGCTGGTCGGGATCCTGTTGATGGATAAGTTTACGGTTAGAGAACGAGAGACGGAGACGGAGACGGAGACGGAGACGGAGACGGAGACGGAGACGGAGACGGAGACGGAGACGGAGACGGAGACGGAGACGGAGACGGAGACGGAGACGGAGACGGAGACGGAGACGGAGACGGAGACGGAGACGGAGACGAGACGGAGACGGAGACGGAGACGGAGACGGAGACGGAGACGGAGACGGAGACGGAGACGGAGACGGAGACGGAGACGGAGACGGAGACGGAGACGGACGAGACGGAGACGAGACGGAGACGGAGAGAGAGAGAGAGAGAGAGAGAGAGAGAGAGAGAGAGAGAGAGAGAGAGAGAGAGAGAGAGAGAGAGAGAGAGAGAGAGAGAGAGAGAGAGAGAGAGAGAGAGAGAGAGAGAGAGAGAGAGAGAAAGAGAGAGAGCAGAGCGGGAGAGAGCAGAGCGGGAGAGCAGAGCGGGAGAGAGCAGAGCGGGAGAGAGCAGAGCGGGAGAGAGCAGAGCGGGAGAGAGCAGAGCGGGAGAGAAAAGCGGGAGAGAGCAGAGCGGGAGAGAAAAGAGCGGGAGAGAGCAGAGCGGGAGAGAGCAGAGCGGACAACACACCTGACTCGGCTGCGACTGAGGCCGGCCAGAAAGGTCACCACCTGGACCGTCTTGCCCAGGCCCATCTCGTCGCCCAGTATGCCGCCGCACTTCTGCTGGTGCAGCTCCCACAGCCAGCGCACTCCAACCTGCTGGTACCTGCCGGCCGAGCCGTGCGCCGTCAGACATGCGGCCGGCACCTCCGCTCCGGAGAAATACCAGCAGGGAGGGCCCGCTGGCAGCGCACACATGGAACAGCGCTGGACGGCTGGGCAGACCGACACGGGCTCTGAGGGCGTCCGGCACCCAGTGCCATGGAATCTGGAACCGCTGGTGGAAAATCACGTGGTGTCAATACACATTTCGCAGATTCAACGTCAATCTAAATTGTCGAAGAGCTTTAAGGAAATATGGGGACGAGGCATTAGCATCACGGATAGAATCAGTGTTTGGGCTGCCGTTCCCGCGTGGTGTGGTAGCGTTCGCACCGAATCTCGGCCTATTCATCCTCTCGCCGTCCTTACGGCTCTGTCATTCAGCCACGCATGCGCCGTAGCTCGAATTCACCCCTGACAGCTGTGATCCGTAGATGGCTGATGGCCAAGCGTCATCCAGTCCGTCGCAGAACTCCAGAACACCGGACAACGGCCGGGGAGCATGCTGGGCGTAACGAAGTGTAAATACTAAAGCATCAAAAGACGACGACGGGCCAAACAATTGCTCCACCCAAATTCTGGCACTTGAGACCAGATGCAGGTGTGACGGGGCGTGAGGCCACGAGCAGATGGGGACACAACGGTAGTAAGGGAAACAGTACGTTGATGACGAGAACGATGTCGCGGCAAGACCACTGACAACCGTCATCAGCTCGCAGCTCGCAGAGGATGGAGGAGACATGTGATCGGGGACTCGATCTCTTTGGACGGGCCATGCCCCCCCCCCCCCCCCGGCACTGGTGGCCTCGGAAACGCAACAACGGGAGTGTCTACGCTCTAGAGCGAATCTGATCTTTCTCGTCAATTGTGTGAATCTCCGCTCACGACAGAAAACCTTAACACGCTGCCAGCGCTTATGCCGTTCAGTCGCAAACGGACGTGAAGAGGAGAGAGAAGAGGTCTCAGAAAGCGACGATGGAGTGCAAACAGGATTAGCATGGATGCTAAAATAAACATGGCAAAATGCAACAAAAACTAAGCAAGACATTATGCAAATCACAAAGCTCAAGGCCCTTCGCTCTGCATCACCTGACATGATCGGGAGTCGACCATTGCCAGCCCAACAGCACCAGGCGAATGTTGCGCTCCTGTGGCAGTCGCCGTGTGAAACAAGCGCATCAAACCAGGCAGACGTCCGCCTGCCAGCACAAGGGAAGCGGCAGCATCCCGGGATAATGCTTGACAGTTCACTGGATGGTGTGGTCGCCTGGCCTGTCTGGCACGGCCCCCTGGGCGTCGCCCCGCCCCGGCAGCAGCCACTCACTTAAACAGCCGGTCCCAGAGCGCCGCCGGGCACCGGAAGCCTCCCTCGAACTCGACACAGCGCTCCTCCTCCTCTTCGTCGTCGACACCCTGTTCGATGCGCAGCAGGCGCTGCTCACGCCGCTCGGTGCGCCAAGCTCGGATCCGCGCCGCGAACGCCGCCGCGTCACCATCGTCACGGCGGCGCCGTTTCTTGGATGCTGGGCGGACAATTCGGGTTAGCTGTTACACGGAGGCCGTGGGGGAGCCTCCCAAGCAGGTCAGCTGAGCCGCATACAGATACACAGCTTCCACGCCACACGTGCAAGAAGTGCGGCACGCACGCCCATTTTTGAAATCCACTATCGCTACCTATGATTGTGTAGCGATCTCGTGGCAACCACCCTCATCAAAGAGATGAATGTTCCACCCATTTTGCATCATCAATGTTTGCCCAATTTCAGGCGGTGTTCGCACTGCTACAATTTTTTTTCTAGGCAGGCAGCAGTCGGCTCATCTCTAACAAATATTAGGTAGAGGCTCCTGCTGACACAACTACTACAGCAAACAGACAGATGGCATATCGCACAAACAGCTTGTAGGCATTGCTGGTGCCACCATTGGTGTTGCGTTCACATAGCAGCACAATAATGCGCTAATTTGACGTTTGAAACCGGCACCATTCTTGGCGCGATCAACTCCTTTGTGGTACATTGCTGTAGAATGACGATGCATCTTAGCAAGCTTCAATGCATCCTGTTGAATTTTCCCCACACTGCGAGCGCGGTCTGGCTGTTCATTGTCAACAGATTGTATTGATGCTCACTGCTGTTCGTGAACATCGACATCATTCCTGGTACAAAACTGCATGAGATAACGGCTCAGCCGTGCGCGTCGCTGGTTCTTACCAGCTTCCCCAGAGGGTCTGGAAGCCTTGGGCGCCCGCTTCCGCTTCTGGCCCCGCGCCACCGCCGGGCTGCTGCGGGCCGCCCCACTGGACACGGCCGTCTCCTCCGACTGGTCGAGCAACCCGTCGGAGGGGGCGTACGAGTCGTCTGATTCGTCGACGGCCCCGTCCGACGGCACGTACTCGTCGTCCGTTTGGCTGGCAGCTCGGTCGAGTCGCTGCGCAGCTTCGCGCGACAGGTTCCCCGGCTGGCGTGGATACGCAGCGCCTTCATCTGAGAGACTGTCGTCTGCGGCAACAGCATGTTGCTGCTGCTGCTGCCGCATCACCGCCTCGCCAACCGAACGGGAGCCGCTGCAGCGCAAGAAAATACATACATCTTACTAAATCGCTTGTGAAGCCGCCCGCTCTTGAATGCCCCGGTGCCATGCGCAGATCACGCTATATATGCATGGCAGAGGATTGTTTCCAGCGACAATCCTGTGTCACCAAGATGTACAGTTCCGGCCCTGTATAACTGAACGACTGCATCACGTCCACCTCTTCTGCCATACCGGCACACCTCACAGACCGAGCCTTCACCCAAATTGCTGCTGTTTAGACCGTGAGTGGTCCCAAAATCGTCCTCGTCGTCATCTTTGGGACTTAACGACGCACTCAGCTGCTGAGGCTATGTGGCGCCGCCTGCCTCTCGCCCTGGCAGGAAGGACGGGCACCACGGGGAATCGAACCCCGTACCTCTGGTTTCCCAGACGTGCAGTGGTTAACGCAAACGCGTTAACGACTGCACTGTCGGCACCCTGGTCACCAAAATTTATGTGACAGCGATGCCAAACGTATGTGACCTGATGAGTTCCCAGCAGGGGGGGGGGGCGCCTGCGCGAGACTGGCGCCGGCAGCGCTCGGCCAGACCTGTGCGGGTCGGCGGTGACGCTGGAGAGGTCGGTGCCGAATGGCGTCACCTGGCCCAGTCTGACCTGCACCTCCAGCTCTGTCTCCGCCGCGCCCAGCAGCTCTGCCGCCGACTCACGCGCACTGCTCGGGCCCTGCGGCGCAGCCAGCGGACGAGACGGGACGCGTCACCAACCGAGCAGCGGTAAATGCATATCAGTCACGGCATACACAACAACGCTGGTTAGTCGATCAAAACGGAAGCTAACACAAACCGCAGTACAAATGTTGGAAAAACAAGGAGTAGCAGTCATGCAAACCATACACAAGGAGCGTGTGTCTTCTAGCGCACAGGAGGGCCGTCCGTCAGGAAACAGGGGGTCTGTCGTCGCATAGGGCCGTGTCGGAGGCAGCGGCCGCGGCTGCCCGGTTAGCCCTGGCCCGGGCTCGGCGCGGTTTGACGGCGATCAGCGGACGGCGCGGGGGCCGTACCGGGGCGGCGCGCTGCTGCTGCTCCAGCTGCTCCAGCTCCTGGCGCAGCTCGCGCAGTTCGCCCTCGCGGCGCCGCTGGCGCACCAGCTGTTCGTAGGAGCTGGGCGCTGGCGTCGCGCCTGAAGCCTCCGCCTGCTGCAGCCGCCTGCGAGGACACGGACCAGTCACAGTACAGAGGACACGGGACAGTCACGGTACAGGGAGCACGGGATAGTCACGGTACGAGGACACAGGATAGTAACAGTACAGAGGACGCGGGCAAGTCACAGTACAGAGGACGCGGGCCAGTCACAGTACAGAGGACACGGGCCAGTCACAGTACAGAGGACACGGGCCAATCGCAGTACAGCGTACAACGGACGAAGAGGCAGGGAAAGATGCCCAGAATGGAAGAGGAAAACATCGGAGAGAGAGAGTGACCGAAATTGAGGACGATGGAAATCGAGAGTGAGTACGTGAGCGTGCAAGCGCGAGTACAAGAGCAAGAGCAAGAGCCGGGCAGGCACACGAGGCCGAGATTGAGCGCGAGGGCGAGGGCGAGGGCGAGGGCGAGGGCGAGGGCGAGGGCGAGGGCCAGGGCCAGGGCCAGGGCCAGGGCCAGGGCCAGGGCCAGGGCCAGGGCCAGGGCCAGGGCGAGGGCGAGGGCGAGGGCCAGGGCAAGGCGAAGACCGAGACCGGGAGAGGGAGAGGGGGAGGGAGAGGGAGAGGGGGAGACGTACGCGATTCTGGTGCGGAGAGTCCTGGCGCGTTTTTCGGCCTGCAGGCGTTGTCGGCGCGCCTCCATCTGCTCCACAGCCGCGTCCACCTGCTGCCGGATGCCCGCCTCCAGCGTGTGCTGGTCATAGAGCCGGAGACCGAGGCCGTCCAGCGCCGCCTGCTGTCGGACAGACGCGGCGGCCGCTCAGCTCCCCGCCGGGCGGGTGTCAACGATCGGCAGTCACCCGGCCAACAGGGCCCGCCAGCTCCCCGCCGGGCGGGTGTCGGGCGAGTGTCGCCGACAGCAGTCACCCGGCCAACAGGAACCGCCAGCTCCCCGCCGGGCGGGTGTCGGGCGAGTGTCGCCGACAGCAGTCACCCGGCCAACAGGGCCCGCCAGCTCCCCGCCGGGCGGGTGTCGCCGACAGAAGTCACCCAGCCAACATGGCCCGCCAGCTCCCCACCGGGCGGGTGTCGCCGACGGCAGTCCCCCTGCCAATAGGGCCCGCCAGCTCCCTGCCGGGCAGGTGTCGGGCGGGTCTCCTCGACGGCGATCACCCGGCCAACAGGGCCCGCCAGCTCACTGCCCGGGCAGCTGTCGGGCGGGTCTCCTCGACGGCGGTCACCCGGCCAACAGGGCCCGCCAGCTCACTGCTCGGGCAGCTGTCGGGCGGGTCTCCTCGACGGCAGTCACCCGGCCAACAGGGCCCGCGAGCTCCCCACCGGGCGGGTGTCGCCGACGGCAGTCCCCCTGCCAATAGTGCCCGCCAGCTCCCCGCCGGGCAGGTGTCAGGCGGGTGTCGCCGACGGCAGTCACCCAGCCAAGGCCCGCAAGATCACAAGCAATCTGGTCGGGTCATGTCAGCACACCACAGCAACAGATCGACCCGTCGGTCAAGTGGTGACGCTCCTTGGCCATCCGTTAGTATCTATGCCGTCCAGATTTCAGGACTGCTAGAGGGATCAGTGGGTGCTCCAGCGGGTGGTCAATCAGATTCTGAAAGCCTTTGCACGTAACAGATGTACATTGGGACTGTATCCATATCAGTGGATCTGATTTGTGAAGAAGATGCTTGGTACCTTCGACTGCCCCGGCCAGCGGGCTTCCCGTGCCGGGGAGGGGACCCATGTATGACGTATTCTTCTAAGGGCCTCTGGATCCACCACGGGGACCCGGTCACCATGTCGCCAGAATGACAGCCAGCAGGTACTGAGCTGGGACGGAAGGACTTTTCAGCCCCGTGTCCGGAAAAGGAACGTGCTCCCTTGTGCTCTACCCAAGGGGACCCCGCCCGAGAAAGTTAAGCATTCTCCTTGGAGCCCAATGGGGTGGACCGTAACGCGGTCAGAAGTCTGTGCCGGCATGGCTCACATGTGTTTGCGTGTATACGTCTATCGTTTTCAGGTTCGCCCGGTGACAAATGCTCCAAAACAGTTTTTAGTATGCACGTCCGCTATCATTCCGCACAAAGAGGCCGATGACGGACGTCGCAGCTATTGACCCTCGAACCGAGCGGCGTTGGCCGTTGCAGATAACACCAGACGCCGGGCGCCGAGCGCGCGAGAACGACCAAGTGTCGTGAACTAATGCTTCTGAAAATGATCCTAACTCAATTTGCACTGTTCATAAGCAAGACTGAGTTGGTTCTTTAACCTGTACAGCCTTCTCATTCCGTAGGGTCGTTTCCTCGTTCCTTTCAGCGGGAACGTCCGACGGAGCAGTCGGTTGTCTGGTGGATTGACGGACTTGCCTAGTGGCAGGGTGAAATGTAACTTGAAATGTGTCGTGATGTGATGAAATTTGATCTACTATCGGCTTCACCCACGTTCAGTGAATGATAGGATTCCGTCAGCTGAAATATCGCGGACGCTTTTCCGACCCGCTTTCCGGCCGACCAAAAAGTCATGAGTTCTACAAGCATACCGCATGCATGACAGGAGTCTTCCCGGCGCTGATGTCACGGGCCGCCCCGACACCGACCCTGCCGGCGCGCGCGCTTCCTGTTGGATTCCCCTGTGGCTGACCAGCTATTGCACCAAGGCATGTTTCCGCCGGCATCTCCCCCCCCCCCCCCCCCCGCCTCTCCCCACAGCAGGTGAACTGATGGCTTTCGAGGCCGCCCGCAGCCGCTGCGACACGGGGACAAGTCAACAACCCGCTTGTGGGGTGGGGCACGGATTTCTGACCTCACCATTATATATATGTATATAATCAGACACAGCGTCGCCGTAAGGGTTTCGTATTTTATGTTGGTTTCACCCAATATCTCGTGCCAGGCATTTTGTGTCATGATCAGGCGAAAAAAGAACTTGCCTAAAATAGGTCCTTATATTCCACAGATTCGTCAAACCTTTGACGTTATCAAGGTGAAAGCTATGATGTGAAACAAATGGCATATATGTTGAACGCACGTTCAATGATCACGATAATTCTAAGTTCACTTTTGCTCAGGTGTTCATACATACGTTACATGATGTATACGCAGTACACAGAGTAAAATCACCGATGTTGACCTCATCTTTAACATGTTTAAATTTTGAGTATACGAAAGCCTGGCTACCAACATCAGTACATGGCTGTGTCCTCAAAGAAAGCGACGCCGATCATGAGCTACAAAACCATTTAAGTTTCCAAGTGTGCAAATACCGTCACACTCCTGTTCAGTGTTGAGCCGAGGTTTGCGGATCCGGATGCTCCCGGTCTCAGTGACCTCGGGCTTCCCATGGCTGCTCTGGTAACCGGGGACGGCTGCGCTATCTATCAGGTTAGACCGAGCGAGGTCCCGACCATGGGATTGCTTTGTATGCTGCTGGGGGTCCCAGACTGGCGGCGGGGGGTCAGATGACGCCAGAGAGAGAGGTCGTGCTGTGTCCAATGTGTGTATAGCGTCTTGGTGGAGCTTGCAATCTCCGTAAGGGATCTGCGGGCGCGTATCACATTTCTGGCTTTCAGTTTGCTTTCTCTGCGTTCGTTGAACTTCATTACGTGGTTGGGGGTGCACTCATTCTTATAATTTTTGATGGTCTAACCTTCGAGTCTGCAGTCTGCAATAAATGCAAGCAGAGAACATCTCACAGTTGACGTTCCCTGCGATTTGTGGCAGTAGCAAACAGATGCAGGCTTTTTTCAGCGCAGGCTGGAGGTGGGTGCCCTCAACATGCTGGGCACGGGGTTCGTCACGCACCTCGTCATGCAACTTCCGGGATATTGAACGCAGAAGCAAAACAAGTACCGGTTAACAGATGAGCAGCCTAAAAAGATACGTCCGCTTCTTAAATTGCCCTCAATATCAACACCGATCCCACAATAATGGCCTGAGTGCAGACGATAACCACCATGAAGCGACATGCAGTGAAGCATACCTTCCTAGCCAGTGTTTTGCCATATATGATGGCGTCTTTTTGTGCCTACCATCTCACCCACTAACAGCTTATGCTAAAAACCAAGTTACACTCCAGCGCACCAGTTGTACCTTCTGCCAACGTGCTGTCCATACAAGCACGCTTACCACGCTAAACGGAGCTGGCCGCGTAAGGCGCTAACCACATCATCCGATCGCTCAACTCCGGGTCATCGTCAGATGTCTACGGTGAGAGAGTACAGTGCTGCAATGCCTGGCACGGTCCGACTTGTCGTCTAGGGATGTCGCCCGGCCTCTAGCACGGACACCGCTGCGGGCCATCCCGGTCAGGGCAAACAGGGAGCGACCGAAGCGACTCTGGAACACATCCTGCCATGGCTGGGGGAACCAGAAGGCAGCGAGCACTCTAACCAACTCAGCCATTGGGATGGACAAGCGCTGTTGCTGCTCCGTCATACATGATCGAGGGAGCATTTGGTCATACCATCGGCTACCTCCAATATGGTCACTCCATGAAAGGAACAACCCTGATCAGTATCTGGCACACCACTTCACATGTGACCTAGCACGACAGCATGCCCACTACACCTCTTAATCTTGACAGTAGTCGCAAGCCTAATCTGCAGATGGTTCCAAATGTTTTAAGAACTGCCTTGGAGCCGAGCAAAACTAGAGCCAATTGGGATGATTTCCTATGTGTTGGGGCGGGTGATGCGCTCTTGGTTTTCCTGGCACTGTCCATGTTCTCCTTCTGAGCCTCAACTGCAGCACCCATGAACGAGACGCCCTTTATCCAATTCCCATGGTCACAGCAATGGTGACCATCTTCATCACCACCATCGCCTGTAGCCCTGCTCTCCTCAGCCAGATGGCTGCATGTTCGGCAACTCCGGTGTCATCACACAGACCACAGTTCTCACCTCTCCACTCATGGTGGATGTTTGGATCAATGAGCTGTCGATGTGTATGTTGCCAGCCA